ACACACACACACACACACACACACACACACACACACACACACAGTTTAGCACAGAAAAAGAAATTGAAGTGACAGTGTACAGAAAGTATACTTGATTTAAATTCCTTCTTTCCCCAAAAATCTGTGCTCTTGGCAGGGTGTGTAAGGGTAGGTCTACACTTACCCGGTAGTTCGGCGGCAAGCAAATCGAACTTCTGGGTTCGACTTATCGCGTCTTGTCTGGACACGATAAGTCGAACCCGGAAGTGCTCGCCGTTGACTGCGGTACTCCAGCTCGACGAGAGGAGTACGCGAAGTCGACGGGGGAGCCTGCCTGCCGCGTCTGGACGGAGGTAAGTTCGAACTAAGGTACTTCGAACTTCAGCTACGTTATTCACGTAGCTGAAGTTGCGTACCTTAGTTCGAATTGGGGGGTTAGTGTAGACCTGCCCTAAGAGTAGCATGGGGGTTATAAGTGTACTACTGGCCCAACTACTTAAGTATTACAATCGGAATGCCTTGAAGTTTTGTAGCAGTCAGATTCCTACATCTTTACAGTTACCTTTCATTCATCAAGAACAAAGGAGGTTAAGTAACAATGATTAACACTTGCACTCTGATTTTAGGCACTGTATCCATTTGGAATTCTGCAAGCAGGGGCAGTGAATTATATGGGCCCGTGGTGCCAATGCATGCTCCAGCAAATTCAGGGCGTGGGCTGGGGGCCCGGCTCCACCAATGTTCAGAACCAGGTCTCCCCTGGAGCATCCTCTGGCCCTGCCTGCCACCCCTACCTGCCTCCCCAGGAGCGTCCCTGCCTGTGCCCTGGGCAGCAAGCAGCTGCCTTGCTACTCCGCGCTGCACTCCCTCGCCGGCCGCTGCCGGCTACAAAAGGGAGCAGTGCTGGTGGCAGGCTGAGGAGGGGAGGAGACGCACATGTGATGGCAGCCCTCCCCTCCCCCCACCACAGGGGAGGCGAGGGGCCTTCCCGGTCCCTAGGAGCATGTGCAGTGAGTGCCAGGTGAGTGTGCTGCCAGGGGGAGAAGGGGGTCCCTCCCCCATAGCTCACTGCTGCTGGTGGGGAGAGGGCTGTCGGGGGGGGGGAAGACTGTGGAATCCTCCTCTCTGGCCCCAGCCCTGGGGCAGCCTGCTGGCACCCCAAACTCCTCATATCCAGCCCCACCCCAGAGCCCGCACCTCCAGCCAGAGCCCACCCCCCCACACACTCTAATCCTCTGCTCCACCCTGAGCCTCCTCCTGCACTGTGAACCTCTCACCCCCGGCCCCACCTCGCAGCCCTCACCCCAACCCTCTGCCCTAGCCCTGAGCCTCTCCCACAACTCAAACCCCTCATCCCCAGGCCCAGCCAGAGCCCTCATCCCCACACACCCCAACTCTCTGCCCTAGCCCTGAGCCCCTCCTACACCCCAAACTCCCAGCTAGAGCCCTCACCCCCTGCACTCCAACCCTCTGCTCCAGCCCTGAGCCCCCTCCCACAACCCTCATCCCCAGCCCCAACCCAGAATCCACACCCCCAGCCAGAGCCCTCATCCCCCCACACCCCAACCCTCTACCCTAACCCAAACCCTTCATCCCCAGCTCCTGCACCCCAGCCCTCTGCCTCAGTCCTGAGCCCCCCCCCCACACTCCAAACCCCTCAGGCCCACCCTATTAATTTTGTTATGTGCACCGAGATGCAGGTGTGTGTGTGGGGGAGGGGATGGGGGGCGGGACTTGGACCTGTTCTGGGCACCACCAAAAATTAATACAAACCTGCTGCCCGTCTGCAAGTGAACTATCAGTGAAGCCACATTATGTAACAAACAGTTGTGTAGAGTGAGTATTTACATAAATTAGCCCTATCTTCAAAAGACTTCAGCAGCTTGCCAACTCCATTCATCTGCCTGGGATGGTTGCTGATCAGAATTCATTTTTAAACTGAGCTTTTTACCTTCAGACAGACATTGCCACAAACTCACCTGAAGAAGCTCTCTGTGTAAGCTTGAAATCTTGTCTCTCTCATCAACAGAAGTGGTCCACTAAAAGATACTACCTCATCCACCTTGTCTCTCTAATATCCTGGGACTGATATGGCTACAACACTGCATAATTGCCCCAAATGGACAAAAATTCCTGATTATTGCTTGCAGCTGATCCTGATTTCACATGCTACTTTAAGAAGAAAGTTGTCATTTACCAGCATTAGGGTTCTTTTAAATCTGTCTTTATTCCTCCTAAGTTACAATAGCCTTTTCCTTTGGCAATCCAAGCTAAATATTTGAATTTTTGTCCATATCATGTCAGCTGCAAGTCACTGAATATATTTGCCTGGCATAGTTATGTATTTTGAGGGAAGGGTAAGTAGTGATGGTTACTGTCATTAAAACAATACAAAGTATCAGGCAGAGAGCCAGTGGATAACATCACTGGTACAGCTGCACGCAGAACTCTGATCTCTGTTTATAGCATGGTGGTGAGAGATATAACCGTGAAGCAGTCATCGCTAACATGGAATATTTAATTTGAGAGCATCATAGCAAAGTGTTTCAAATGATCTATTGTTTTGGTTCTTCCATTACTTTTAACACCCATCCAGCTTCATTATTTGAATGGTCCTGATTATTCATTTGTCTCTATTTAGGTAAAGAAGCGGTCTTCACTTGCATATTAACAAAAGCATCCATACATTGCCTTGGACACTTGGTGTTTTAAACTGCCACCTCAAGTATTTTGGATGATACATACTGTTTAATAAAACAGAGGAAGTCAAAGAAAACCCCCACACCTTTAGTGAATAGCCACATTAGTTCCTGTTCAGCCAGTTTGTAATTTGGATTTAAGAGAGGATCGTAGTACTAGAGTTCGGGATGTCTATGACAAAAAGTAACCTTTGAAAGTTGCATTAGTAAATGTTACACTAAGGTCATAATAATTTTCTAGGGTTGCAGATTTGAC